TATTGTAGGATTTATTATATGTTATTTTGTTAAGCATGTATTAATTATAGGTATAAGTAGAGTGTTCGTGGATGGTGGGGGGGCGTGAAAACCCGCGCTTAGTCAGCTCTAAACTGACGCCGGGGCGTCAGTGTATTGGGACCCCTTTTCGTCGGCCTCGCTTATGTCACCAGCAAAAAAATAAACCCCCACGTCTCACAACAGCTTCAAACTACTCGTACCATACATACCTGGAAGGTGAGCTGATGATATGTTAAGATTCCCTTCAAGGGCTGTCTGCAAAGACATCAAAAAAGGTCAAAAAGAATAATATTTCCATACCAGGGAGTCGAACCCTGCGCTACCGCGATCCAATCACAGAATGAGAGGCGGAAATGTTACCGATACACCAGTATGGATTGTATTGATACACTTTTATGGTGATTTTGTGTATGCCAAATTGCTTGCTATTTGTGACTATGTCCTAAAATACAAATCAGCCAATCAGAAGTAGTTTCTTCCATCCACACTGTGGCTTTTCCTCGGCGCTCAAACCACGTGGGCAATGTATTTTTTATATCATTCAAGGTGTTACGAGTTGGTTCATCTATTTGATTCTGTCTTGCCTGCTATCTTTGTACTACGCGGTTTGGCCTATATAATATTTAGGTCTGTCTACGAACCAGCGGGGTTTTCGTGTTCGCAGATTCCCAAACTCTATTGGATATTTCTACTTTGGACCACAGAATAATCGGCCTTAATATGAGTAATTCAAGATTCTACAAAAGACTTAAGATTCGGCTCTGCTGGCGGCTTCCTGGTTTCAGAATGGTCAAGTGAGGTTATCTATCTACTACATTGTTAGGTTAACTTCTAGTTCTCGCATCCCTGCTGATTTAATCCTTTGGGTGCAATGTTGCTAGAAAGTAAATCTACGAATCACACAGCCTTTATTGACAGACATGTCTCTACTCTTCGGGGCTTTTCTTAATCAGTAAATCAGTAAGCTTCCGTCCCAACGAGATAGAAGAAAAAAGCGTTTTGGAGATCAGTGTATTAAAGCATTTTTCACGCCCTGAAAGCTATATCAAACAAAGCAACCAATTCTATAAGCGAGAACCTCTTCTTCTATATAGGGGGCTGGTTGTACTTTGCGTTAAGGAGGATCTTACTCAAGACTCTAGCTTTCTAGAAAAGATAATTGAAGTATCTCTAGGTACAGTATTATAGTTAAGTAAACTAGGTACTATAAGTTTATCGGGTCCTAAAGTAATAACAAATCATTGAGATCCCTAGATTCGTTATCTGTCAGGACGTATTACATTCAGAGGTATTTTATAGTTGTTAGATTTGGTTAATTATTAGCTTCTCTGCTTTTCTCTCTATCATTTTCTTCTATACGCAACTATTTATTTACATTGGAAGTTTGATATTTGTATCAAATTAATATGCTTTGCTGAATCAAATATCTACATAGTCGGTCCTGATTCTTAGACATGTCAATACCGTCTCTACTCTACCTGTTCATAATAATTTCTGTCACATGAACAGTTCGGTTTGAGGTGAGGTGTCGTGGTGTCCTCCCAAATTATTGTTTTCAATTCCGCAGGCGGCTTTCCAAATTCGTACAATGTTAACCATTGGACGTTAGCTATTGGACGTGTGCTTTTGCCGTTAATACCCCATTGGCCAACTTCCCTCATCTCACAATATTGATTGAGACCGTGATGGTGTAGATATCTAGGTAGCCTTGGCGCCCTTGGTAAGTGGTCAAATCTTCGTAGGAGGGGGTCAAACAGCCCAGGAAAGCTGGAAGGAGGAGATATTCATATCAAGTGATTTCGTTGGCTTGATATTTTGTTATCTTTGAGGGAAAGTATTGAGGGGAGGCACCCAGCCAATAGTAAAGCGTTTCGGAACCTCAGATGTGTGGGGAGAAGCAAATTCGCACGTAAAACATGTGAAGAAAGCCCGTTTATAAGGGCAGTAGATATCTTGGATATCTGCTGTTGTATCTTAAGATACTTTTTGGGGCGCTTTTTGTGTGAAAAAATCATTCACACGGATGCATGGATCGCAGAACGTCTTTTTCATGTAAGAATCTTATGTTGTACATGTGTAACTCTTGCTAGCTATATATATCCTTCCCCGCCGGCCTACTGTCAGCTCCTGTAGTGCTCTTTTTCAAAACATTTTTATGGTAAATTTTGCGGTTCTATCCTCTCAACAGCTTTTCAATGTCGAAGACCGTGGAGTTTCCTGACCTTGAAAAGTGGTGGTATGAAGCAGGCCCCGATGACTTGGTCTGCTGCGCTTGCCAAAGGAAGATAGGCGCCTCCGCTCTTGCCCGGACTTTTCGTCTAAATCTATCCCCGAGAGGCGATCATGAAAGCTCATCGAAATATACCAAAATCATTGAAACTCCGCTAGGCGAAAACCTTGTGATATATGACCGACATTTACATTGTCTGCTGCAAAGTGGCGTCAAGTATTCGAGCGTTTCTCACGTATGGGATCCAGAAATCTCCCGCATCCAAAATCTCGGTCGGCATTCGCCACAACCTCTCGAAGCCTGTCGTCTCGTTGTGCAACTTCCAGTTTTCTTATATACCGGGCTGTTAAGAGGGAACGAAATTTCGGAACAAGATGAGGTTTGGTGCGATTATGTTAGCGTCCCGCAGTGGTCTGATAACCTCAAGAATAGAATCTTGTTGGCTATCCCACAAATCTACGGCTCGTCCAGTATGACGAGGATACATTTCAACGACCTTAGCAAACAAAGCATTAGGATGCTTTACGAAGGCGAGACGACCTTTCAACGACTCAAGGGAATCACTGATATCCGCAATCTGGTATGGTTCAGTCGTGTTTGGACAGCAATGGAGTTCGTCAGGAGCAACCGTGTGATTTCGATCGATAAGGATTATGATGTGTGTCCTGATAGAAATGACCCCATATATATGAATCAATTGCATCGGGTATGGGCCCAGGAGCTTTCTAAGCACGAATCAGTCCATCAGCTAGAGCACCGAGCTGGGATGGGTAAGAATCTTGTGCCGTGGAATTTAGGTCCACTCACGGGCATAGAACAAAGGAAATCAGCAGTATTTGGACAAGCCTTCTCGCTGGTCTCAAAACGCCGATGCCGTAGTAATCATGACTTTCTACATGCATTGCTTGGTTTGGTTGGAACAACCTCAGATCGTCCCCTTGAATACGACTTCAAGCGCGAATACGCTCACATTGCGAGACTTTGTCTGGCTGCTGGTGATTACAGTCCTTTGTTAATGTCACCTCGACGACTTAGGAGCATGATGAGCGGTTCAGGTATCTTCATGGGTTTCATGACGTGAATATCTGGCCCCTGGGAACTGGCCGTCGTCCCTCAGACTTTCATGGGGAGTTTTGCTTTGATAATTATGACTTGGAGAATGGAGACCCAATCCTCAAGTTGCAAAAGATCGGGGTCGTTTCTCAAGTGTACAGGAGGCTCGGAGCAAGTCCGATAGCAGAGTTCGCCCATGATGCATATATCACCCTGCAATCTACAGGTCCAGATCTGTATACATTTATTGAGACCCTTGGATCCAGATTATATGATGAGGATGCTGCCTCCATAAAGAGCAAGCTATTCCTAGAGAATCAAATTGATAAGCTTACATACATACTACGAGTAAAACACAATCAGGGCAAAGGATTTCCAATCGAAGGACCTGATGGTGCTCGCTGGGTCGCAGAAGCCATGAAATTCACCAGCTCAAGAGGGTCTTCAGCAAATCCCGCGAGTCGATTGGCTTTCTTAATGGCACATGGCGGTACAATTCATTGTGGCTTTGCATCAGGCCCAGGTGGTCACAATTGTCTAATATCAGTTGCGTGTCCCGGATGCCGTCGAAGTTTTTTATTTCGAGCCGGATTGTTCGAGTCACCTGATAGTGTGAAAGGTCTCGTGGCATATCGTATTCCTGGTCTCAAGTTTGACTTCTCCCATTGGGACGGGGTGAGAATTCTTCTCAAAGATGGCCGTGTCATGGGTCGAATGGTATGGGCTACTCCAGCTTGTCACTGTTTTCAGTTTGAGAAGGTTCAGATCAAAATTCCAGATTTGCCAGACCGGAGTCCGAGGCCATTTGTATTCTAATTTGGGTTATCGTTGTAAAATAAAGAAGATAGATAGAAAACGTGCTAGGTGAAAGAATATCTAAAGTTTCCTTGCTTAAGCGAAATATATTAACTCTCTTTTTATTATTTAATACGGTAATAGACTAAAATGCTACCTATGTATAACTTCACTAGTTTACTAGCAAAATCTCTAGTAAAATAATATTCGCTATATAGCTAATATTTCTATCTAAAGATAGAATACTAAATTACGTAATATACTAACTTATATATATATTCTAGAACTCTACTAGCCTACGAGATAATGAGATAATTATAATAATATATAAGTTACACGTAAACCACTAGGGCTAATAATAACCTCTATATAATCTAAGACACTTCGACTAATGCTTAGCTAGGCACCTGTCATTCGCTTTAAATTATCACCTTACTTCAGGACCTTCTACAATTACAAAGAATTACACTTTATAGTATACGAAGTGTACTAACGTAATGAAATGCTCGAATTCTGTCTCAAAGGCATGTAGATATATAAAAAGGATTGCGATACAAACATAACCCCTTATACCCCTGTAAACTCTCTTTCTCTATAATTTCCACCATCTTGTTCATTAACATTATATAACATCGCAGAACAAGATAAATTTTACGATATAAAGTATAGATAAACCTACTTTAAAACGTGGAGTTCCACTACTACAAAACCACCCATCAACTATGAGCCGCAGAAATATATCCACGTGACGTTAATAGGTCTACAACTTCCTCGAAAAACCGGAGCAAGATACAAAGATCTCCGTGTTTATATCCTGCACACTGTGTCTATATCTTGTACGAACTGCCAATTGTTACTAGAAAAGAACGGCACCAGAATAACGAACCACCACCAGGCTACCATTCGGATGTAAACACGGTTGACGCCTTACAGGGCCGCGAGCGTCCTATTGTTATACTCACTCACTGAACGCCATTTATCATGTTGGCGGCCAACAACATTGCCTTAATTCTATGTCACTCGCTAACAACGATCTAGATATCTCAGAGCTGGACAGAGCCCAGCTTCGGGGCAGACCATCTACAGTTACGATCAACTTGCGCTTAGCCCCATGGTCAGTTAGAGATTATGAATCTGATTCGTAACATCGCCGATCCAGCAGTCACCGAAAACATCGAATGGTCATTTAGCACAGTACTATATCAACCCGGAACCCAACGAACGAAAGCCAATAAATCGAACGTAAATCTCCATTCGACGAATCCCAAACATTCAGATAACCCTCAAGTATGTACGCGTGAGTATTCTTCCTCCACCTTTCGACTTTCTCTTTCTGCTTCCGAATCCTCGAAACGACAACAGAATTTGACCGTCTGACTGTTATCTCAAGGAATTGGCTAGCTACGCACGTCCATGTTCTAGAACAATAGGTAATCATGAGTCGAGTGGAAACGGCTTAGATTCGACATCACTTTTAAGGGAGCCACAATGTGGCAGGGATACGATGAGTTCGATCACATGTTGTTCGTGGCTAATTTTTAGCATGGGTGATTCTAGAAGTGAGACACTTATTGAAGAGTTTGACGCTTTTCGGAATTGTAACGGGAGGCGATTTCCTGACTGGCTCGTGATTGTAAATTAATGTGAGTTCTTTTGTGAACAACTTCTACTTCAACCCGTTCTATATGTTGATATGACGGAACTTTGCAGGACAAGAGCGACTCTGAATGCTACCCAAGAAATCTTCGAAGGTTAGAGGACATCAGCGGACATGGCCATATATAGCCAGCTACTCTTAATATCGCGATCTTGGATGAGCACGAAACTTGTTTTAGAGGGTGACCTGCTCCGCAGTGAACATACACAAGTCCATTTCTAAGGCCATTTCTCCACTCTGGACAGCGCTCAAGATATATGCAGACGATAGTAGTAACAATCACAGATATTAACACAATCTAGACCTTATGAACACAATCACCAGGATTTGCGATGAGGTCCGTTGACGGGTAGACCCCTATCCAGATACAGTATCTTAGTATACTCTCTATTTCCCTCTTATGCTTGGTCACCTTAATATTCCGGGATCCAAAATACGCACCCACCAAAATACAGACACCCAGTTGCAAGTAATGCTAGAGGACTTATAAGAACTTCGCAGCCGAAGAGCTTCGCGCAGATCCAAGTAGAGCTGTATCAGAAGCGTCTATGCATGAGATAACTGATGGGATCAAACTCACCAGGTTTAAAATGCAACAGAGAATTTCAACGCGTTAAGGTGTGGAACCTTGTACACCCTGGATGCGCATTCCAGCCAAACAGGCCCTTACTACTCGTATATCAAAGGATGCAAAAACAAAAATAACAACAAATACCCAATCGAACGCGAAAACCAATTTAACGAAGGTCAAACATTCAGATGAACCTACCTATACTCTCATTAATACACCGCCTACCCTTTGAACAGTGCCAAAATGAACCGCAAGCATGCAGGGGAGACACAAGTTGTTGTAGGTCTATCGCTCCTACATTATCTGGAGTCGAGACTCCTTCGGGTCGTCCCACTCGCGGGTGGCTCTATCGTCTTACTAGGAAAGCATCCACACGAGAATCTTACTAGCTTTTATATGGTTCGATTCTAGGTTGCATTAGAAGAATCAGCCTTGATGTTTGATGTTTATTAGGCAATCGTCTTCTTGTGTCTTTCAAGGGTACGAACCAGGGCGTAATAGTCAGACGAACTGAGTTCAAGTACGGGAATTGTATTACTCGAAGATCCCACTTGCCATATTGAGAAAATTCGAGGTCAAGCATAGGAATTTGGAAGATGAGGATGTGTGTGACAGTTTTTGATTTAGTGAATAAGGGTTCGCTTAGCGAAGTTGCGAGTGTACCCTTCCGTAGATAGACAAATACCTAAGGAGTGCGAAGAGCGTCTCTCTTCCCTCCTTGCGAACAATCTATTCCTTGATCTCCACCATAACAATGTGGGCATGTAGCACGGGATATTGTACTATATAGTCTTCCAGACTTATATATAAGTTACAAGAATGTATACAAGTAGATATATAAACGGGAAAACATAAATACCACTTAGATTCAACACGTCTTAACCCACCGAAGAACCTCTCCCAGCACCAGTAGAGCCGGGCTCAGCTTTTTCGCCTCCCAACGCAGCTCTTCCAACATCACTGGCAAATATATCCACGGCACAACTTACTTCCACAAAATCCTCCAATTCCTCACTTACCGTTTTCAGTTTTTCCTTGACACTGGCTACGCCTTCGAAACCGACTATGTGTCTTGCAGGTGGATTTTCGTGGCCTCCAATTGCCGTGAGGGCATGTACTGTTTCCATAACCAAACAATCTCGGGCTTCACTTGGGAGGCGAGGGAAACGAGATTGTATGGGACCAAGGTGATTCGCATTCCCCTCTTCATCAACGGATCTTGGATTCCCTGACCCTGGTGTTCCCATAGGGTCACTGATCCGTGTTTCCGGATGCATGTTTACCACATTGGTGAGGATGTCTCTCAATCCTGGGGCCGGGTTGTTATGACTCTCATACTGTGGTAATTGAGGTGCAAATATAATCTTATTGGTAAGAACTCCGATTTCTTTGTTTGGTTGGACGATGGTGAGTTTGATGTTGAAGGGTGCTATTTCATAGGCTAGAGAATCGCAGTAGCCTTCCAGTGCCCAGGTTGAAGCGCAGTACATTGGCATCCCTGGGGTGCCAATGTGTCCTCCTATCCCGGTGAGAATCATTATATGACCATTGTGTCGTTCTCGAAGGAGTGGAAGGGTGGCTTTGATAAAGTTTACTTGACCAAAGAAAATGGTTTCGAATTGGTCGCGAACGAGATTTTGTGTTGCTGCTGAGGTAGACAATTCTTCAACCGTACCGACAACCGCTGGCAAAACTATTAGAGACGCTTTGTAGAGTTAGAATAGGAGGTATTACCTTCTGACGTGCAACATAGGAGAATGTCGATTCGTCCAAACACATCCACAGCTTCTGCGACCGCTGCACCACATTGGCCCATTACTCTGCCATCGCACCTGATACCGCGTATTCGGTCTTTCCACCCTTCCCTATCTTTTCTCGTGCTTCTGCACTCATTGATCAGTTCTCGAAACTCGGAACTTCGCTCATCGTCGGCGATTTCTGAGGGAGGAAGACCAGCTGCCACATAATCGCCATGCGCCAACAATAATCGGATCAGGCGTACTGCCAATGGCGACAACGAGGACGTCAAAAACCAGACTCGTGGTGAATTATGTGTAGCTGCAAACAAATTCGCATTAGCGATAGTCTCGTCGCATCAATCGGCCCATAAACTTACGAAATGAAGCAATTGGGATAGTGATTTTTGAGGGAGCGGGAGCTGCCTCAGACAGCTTGCGATCAGCCATTTTCCTTTCTTGTCGCGGTGTGTTGGGTAACCTCTCTGAACTGATTCTGCGGCTGCATTAGACATATACTATTATATACTATTATATACTATTATATAGGTCGGGTTTCGTCGCGATAGCTTGTATAGCGCAAGGCTAATCTAGAAAATCGGCAGATGAAGATATTCCGAGACGATGACGGCAGATGGGGTTGTTCCGGTGGCAGGCGCAGGGATGAGCTGTCTCAGGCTGATGAACCCCACCTGGGCCTGGCCTGGCACCCTGAGAAAAGTCCGGGGAAGCGAGTGAAGCTCCCGACCATCTTCACTACTTTTCTTCTTGACTCATACGACAACTCTACTTTGCCGCCTTTGCTTGCAATTCTCTTCCTCCTCTGGCAGATCTGAATACCCTCAACTTCAGTTTTAGCATCAATCATCGAATTAATCTTAACAAGAACATTTGTAAGTTCCACTCGCCTTTGGCTGCAATTATCTTTGAAGCCCAAGTGGTGTGAGGGGCAAAGCTCACCCCTTCTCCCGCCACGGTACAAGTACAACGCTCCCGGACGGCTATTCGTTTCCAATTGATAACACACTAATTTGAGGGATTCTGTAGAAGCGCAAAGTCTTCACTTCTTTACACGAGTACCAGATCGAGACGCTCCAACAAGTCGAAATTGAAGAAATGCCTGCCCGCGAGGAAATCACTTACTTTGGAGCTGGTCCAGCATTACTGCCTACCGATGTCTTGAAGACAGCTGCACAATCTTTAGTGGATCACGATAACACGGGTCTTGGTCTCGCAGAGCACTCTCATCGTTCTGAATTGGCTACGGGAATTCTCAACACAACAAAGGCAGATCTTGCAAAATACCTGGATATACCCGATGACTACGACATTCTCTTTATGCAGGGTGGTGGGACCGGAGAGTTTTCTGCCACCATATACAACCTGGTTGGTGTTTGGGTAGAGCGAAGAAAGCAGAAGATCCTCAGAGAAATTGGAATCACCGACGAGAAGGGAATCCCAGAGGACGAGCTTGTCAAGCAATTGCAAAAGACTGTGGTCGAGGAGTTGAAGATTGACTATTTAGTCACTGGTTCTTGGTCGTTAAAAGCAAGTCAGGAGGCAGCTCGTTTGGTGGGTGCAGAACATGTCAATGTAGTGGCAGATGCACGAAAGATCAACGATGGCAAATTCGGCAAGATTCCAGAGGAGAGCACTTGGAAACTTTCCAAGGACCCCGCTATGGTTTACTATTGCGATAACGAGACTGTTGATGGTGTCGAATTTCCTGGCTTCCCCAAGATTTTAGAGCCAGCTGGAGAGGACGGACCAATTGTCGTGGCAGATATGTCTTCAAACATTCTTTCCCGTCGGATACCCATTAAGAATTTCTCCGTCATTTTCTTTGGAGCCCAAAAGAACTTGGGAACCACTGGTATCACGGTTGTTATCATCAAGAAGAGTCTTTTGCCACCCGCGGTAGCAACTCCAGCTCCTACTCTGTTACGAAAGCTAGGTCTGCCAATTGGTCCAATTGTCTTTTCGTATGAGACCATTGCCAAAAACAACAGTCTTTACAATACCCTCAGTATCTTTGAGTAAGTCTTGCAGTCATGGCTGCCGAACCTAGCTAATTCTTTGAAGTGTCTACATTGCTGGCCAGGTTCTCAAAAGCTCCTTGGCAACTTACTCTAACAAAGTTGATGGACAAGAAGAAGTGTCCGAGAAAAAGGCGAACCTAATCTACGGCGCACTTGATGCTCACCCAGAAGCATTCAAAGTCGTTCCAGATAAGAGCGTACGCTCAAGAATGAACATTTGTTTCCGGGTGACTCATGTAAGTATTGATCCTCTCTGAGCCCTTGCTATGTCATATTTCGATTTCCTGAAAATACTACCCGACTCAAATTCTAACATAAGTCAGCTTGCAAACATCGACGACGGCGAGAAGCTCTTCCTCAAAGGCGCCGTTGAGAAGGGACTCACAGGATTAAAGGGCCATCGAAGTGTTGGTGGTATCAGAGCCAGTAACTACAACTCCATTCCTCTCTCGGGGGCGGAGAAGTTGGCAGCGTATATTGAAGAATTTACAAAGACGCCAAAATAAAGGGATTTGCAAGGGAGAATCTGATAACTTCTTTGAAAATACTATAAGCTATGAATTCAACTTTTTGGTCAGTATTTATTGTATCTTGGAAACCAAAGATTGTAGGAGAACAAGTGAGACGGCTCGTGTCTACAATTAAGTATTTCTAGGCTTCAAAATCGGAGTAAAAGCTAGGTTGTATTATATTCACATATTGATGCTATATTTCGTTTTTTTGTTGCACATCGCATTCTGTCAGCGGATCCTGACTGTGGATTCCTGATTCCTGATTCCTAACAGGTATATAACTTGTCCTTTTGTTGCACATCGCAATCTGTCCACAGATTCCGCGGATTCCGACTAGAACTAATCTTTTTGTTGCATGTCGTATTCTGTTTCCAGATTCTAACGACCTGAACTCATCTTTTTGTTGCACATCGCATTCTGTCAGGGGATCCTGACTACGGATTCCTGATTCCTAACAAGTATATAACTTGTCCGGTTGTTGCATATCGCATTCTAGCTCGGATTCTCTGGAATCTGTCTCCGCGGACGAGGACGGCTGTAGTATATTCTTTTGTTGCACATCGCATTCAGCAGATTCTGTCTCCTCAGATCTGACCACTACAAATTGTTGTCTTGTTACACATCGCATCCAGCAGATTCTGTCCCCGCAGATTCTGACGAGTAGATAACTTGTCTTTTTGTTGCATGTCGCATTCCGCGGATTCTGTCTCCACAGACGATGACGGCTATAGTTTGTCCAATTGTTGCACGTCGCATTCTGTCCACTGATTCCTGACCACTATAATTCGTCTTTTTGTTGCACATCGCATTCCTCGGATTCTGGCTGATCAGATTCTGGCTTTTGAGATCCGATTCTGGCTCCTCAGATTCCATCGAATCTGTCTCCACGGACGAGGATGGCTGTAGTTATCCTTTTATTGCATATCGCATTCTATCCTCAGACGAGGACGATAGCGAGGACGGACGTAGACTCTCGTCCCTCATCTATTACTGCCAAAACCATGTGCCTCTATAAACTAAATTGGCCGATATAAAGTAAGATTATGCCTTCTGTAAAGAACATCCACAAAATGAACTCCGTTGAAATTTGAAACAACAGTTTCTTTGCAAAAATTCATCGGATTATTTTGTGGTTCTGGTCTTCCTCTAACTTTCGCGGTGGTGCGTAGAGCAGTGGCCATGAGTCCGGTATGCGGGCTATGAATAATTCCAGAGCATATAAGAAAACCAATATACTTTGGATACGGTTAGTACTATGTTCCTGATGGTGGGTGGTACTGTACAGCCTCACATTTGAGCTGTGTCTTCTGGTAAGGCAGCTCTACTTAGGTAAGATTACCGTACGTTCCCTTCTTCCGCAAGGCTCGCTAATCGAACCAGTGATTTACCGGGAAGTCCTCCATGTTGCATGCATCTGAGTATGCAACGCGCAAATGTGCATAAACCTTGGAGATACGTAGCTTGGTTTTAAGTATCGCAAATATCCCTCTGGCTCCATCTTGACAGTTAAGAGTACATTTTGCCTTTTATTAAGATGTATTCCCCATCACAGCACCTAGTTTCAAACGTTGCGATAGAAAATGCTGAGGCAAGATGCGAAGAAAGGATCCCCAACAGTAAGAAGGGGATACCTACATATACATGCGATGTTTGTGTACCACAGAGAGTATGCCCCAAAGTTCAGTCAGAGTGGCTATCACCAATCATGTTGTAGACATTTAGTGACGCATTGGGTTTGATGTAAGTTCAAAAGCGTTATTCACACTGAGTTAAACACAGCTTACATTCATAGGGATCACGACCGTTACTTACACGAGGAGCGTGTATATGAATACAACTTGAATCATCCGCTTTTTCTTCATCTTCAGCGCCAGTAAGTTATGTCTACCAGTTCTTAAAACCAACTACTGTTCCAGTGAAACGCAAAACGCAAAGTCGAATGTATCCGGAGAAGGCCTAATCGAGAAAGAAAACATTGTGAATAGAGATGTACCGTCTCAAAATGATGGTGTCAGCCTCAAGACGTCTCCCACACATGAACGCTGTTATCATATGGCGGACTCCCTCAGTAATTCAGCTTTGCCAATTCAAAGGCTTGCAGATGAAAATTTTCCCACGTCGAAGTTTCTATTTAGCGATAGTGCTTTTCTCAATGAGACACTTGGCATTTCGAGCTTACCTTTCGTTTCATATGATAATTTTAAATGCAAATCTCCGAAAAGTCCCACCTCTTCAGTATCTGGACCCTCGGTTACTTGCGATCCTTCCACTGATTTCGACACAGAATCGACATACGATGACGAGGCTTCGGACTTGGAGGACGAGGAATTTCTAGAGTGCCCCAGTACACTGAATGCTCTTGCTTTGATAAAGGAAAAGGTTCGAGCTGAAACCAAAGTCAGCCAGATGTCAATCTTTGGCCCTACTTTATCCCCCATGAAGCGGGCCTTAGTTGACAGCGTCATAAAGGATTTTTGGGCAATATTTTCGCAGAAGCTATCTTCCAATATACGACAATGTACTGACAGTTCTTCTGCTTGTTCGTCTCAGAAAGGTTTTCAGGATCCCAGGAACCCTAAATCTGCAAGTACTCTCAAGATCATCCAAAGAAAACGCCAGAGAGATCATTCCGATAGTCATGATGACGAAGACGAAGACGATCGAGCCCCGAAGTGACCTAGACAGAATAGTTGTCCTTCGGAGGCTCTTGAGCACCCAAAGAATTTCGCATGTCCTTATCGCAAGTACAACCCACAAAGGTACAACCATGGCACTCGATGTTGGAGAACCTGTGCTCTTACTTCTTTTAGCACAACTTCTCGATTGAAGTAAGCGTACTCAGTTCATCAGGTTACTTCAAAGAACTGATATAATTCATGGGCCACCTGTACCGCTACCATAGGTGTTTTCAATGTGAACGTTGCGGTGATATTTACAAGAATGAGGATCAACTTAAAGACCATTTCATGGCTGTGAAAACATGCAACTTGAAATCGTTCACACCCGACGAAGGCATTACCTCCTCCATGGAAAAAAAACTGCGAAGTAGAAGAAAGACTCATGCCACCCAAACGCAAGAAGAAACATGGGAGGAGATCTACCGCATGCTGTTTCCCTTGGATTCTGTTCCAAGTCCTTGTGAGTGACACGCTAATCTTGAGGTTGCCGCCCGAATGCCAGAATCTCACAAGCTTTCCAGATTTTGAAGCAGCTACAGATTACATTCAACGGTCCCCGGGTTCAGTGGAGCTTTCTAGTTACGAAGAATACTCTCGCCAAGAACTGCCTCGGATATTCAGAAGAGCACTTGAAGCCGCAGTCGGTGAGCAAGCTCTACCAATCGAGAATGTGCTCAGGAATCGATTAGTTGAGATGATTCAAGAGTGCCAAAATCACGTTTTCACAGCTTATCGATCTCGACAAGCTGCGAGCTCAGCTACCGTAGACCTTGCGCCAGCAATTGATTCGTTATTCTCCTTCGTACCAGCGATCACGAATCAAGAACAGATCCCGAATACGTATCCTAACTCTACAGATCCTTTACAGAACTTCTACCAACAACCTCTTTATCAGAGTCACGCCCTGCCGGCATTCGATTTTGACGTCAATACAGAGGCACTGGATATTCCAGCTTCCGATCAGGGTATATGAGTGATCTCGTCAGAATCCGTGAATCAAATTCTAGTACCGCTAATGCGTCCACGGCTGGTGCAGATTTCTTTCCAGGTTTGCAATTGCTAGCCCAAAGAGAGGCCGACGATTTATTTACTCAGGAAGAAGCTCCGAATACGCATTCAAAGACGATATAAGAGCCACAGGCATGTGGACTAATGGATGAAAGCGGCATGTTCCCATCGAATACAGAGTAAACTCTTCCACAATTGGATGGGAATGCTGTTTGTTATCATTTTTGGAAGAGAGAGCCTTGGTATTGAATACAACCGTGTATATTGCGCAGATATCTCCTTATTCCAGTCAATTGGGAAGGTTGGGGAATCCGATGAGCACATAAAAATCAATAGTTTCATCTAAATAGACTAAGCGATTCTTTTTAAAGTCTTCTCTAACAACATATCCTTCGATCCCTAGTCCATTGTCTTTGCGGGACCATATCTCCCACTAACTTCTACTCTGTTAGCCTATAGCCTACAATGATACTTTTTATGATTACTAGTATCTCATCTTACTATTTCTTTCATTGATTCTACAAATAACAGATCTACTTTTTAATTATCGCATACGACATTCTAATGATCTTTTTAAAAGGAGGAGAATCGACTAGTACTTAAGATTTTGTTACCATGTTTACTAAAGATATCTCTCTTATGATAGTATGAAATTACTCTTTCTCACTGATCATTATTTCGATTACTTAGGTTTTGATGACGTTAATATTGTAATTTCAATGTACGGAGATTCATGTTGGATGTCCTTGTCTCCAAACAATGCACAAGCTGTCACATACGACCATAGACTGAGGAGAATTGGGCATCCCGTCCGCTCTGCCATACACAAGCCTCAGATCGGCAGATTAGTAGTTGGGTGGGTGACCACCAGCGAATACCTGCTGTTGTATGTTTTTTCCTTTTTGCTCTTTCTTTTTGCGGTCTTGTTCTGCCAGAGTTGGTGGATGTGGAGGATTGGGTTAAGGAGAAATGAACGTGGTGAGAGTGGAGTGGTTGCACTTTTTTGATTGGTCCGACGTCACATGATATTGCTTCACTGTCACGTGAAACTTATAATTAAACGCCTCTGGCTAAGTATTCAAAAAAGGAGAGAATCGGTGCAAGAGTATGTCTCTCTCCCTTAGGCATCGATAATACCTTGATGTATAGTATAATATCTAGTACTTGGCTTATGAATCTCATGGTTCATGAAGGTTCCCCATTCCCCCCTCGCTAAATTTTCAGGGGCTCGTGCTACCAACCTTGAGTTAACAAATCAGATGCAAATGAACGCTGTTATTGTCTTGAACGTAATTCAACTCATACTACAGCACTGTATTTGCACGAATAACGCGACATGCTAACCTTGCTATTAGCGAACCGCATGTATGTTAGCAAGCTATAATAGCGTGTGGCTGTTAGAAAGCCTTTTTAACCTCCACCGTATCTATACCTTTCCCATCTGATGACTTGACTTCATCGACGGATTCTGTCCATTTAACTGACTCTTTAACTAAACCATCCGAACCACTGTAACCAAACCCTTACTAACTGTCTACCTCATAAGGGATCACAATCTGCCACGGGCTATACCACATAACTGAGCCATACCAACCATTTATTCCCGTCTTAGGTCACATCCGACCCTTCAATAATTGACCTTGGCGATATTTTCAGACTAGATTACGAGAGAGCTCCCCGCTAATAGAGCTAACATTCTTCGCCCCTGAGAGAGGTTCCAACGAGTTCGCGACCGTCCTAGAATAATTGGGATAAGTCGTATATCTTGGCCGAAGTGCACCACAGTTTTCTGCTTTTTGTATCACGTTTCGCAGGTTCCACACAAAAGTAGAAGGCCATTGATCTCTAGGAAGCATCGGAGCAGTGTAGGTTAGATATAAGGAAGTAGTCGGGAAACGGGGAAGGATTATTTGAATAGGTTTCCAATCAGTTACTGAAGCAGTCCTCTAAAATGCATCATAGAAAGTATCTGGAAGCTCACTGCGTTTTGTAATTATGAGAGCACATCACTGAAACCACGACGTAACCCCATGAATCTGGCCACTTTGCTTTACTTTTCATTATGTTTTCGTTATTGTATTATGTAAGATTGCCCCAATAAATTCAATTAGATCTGCCACACAGGAAGATTTCCGTCGACAATCAGAGGAGAAAACGGAAAAACAGAAACTCCATCAAGTGTATCTCACCATCCCTAAGCCCAAATCCACGAGGTCAAAAATCAGAGACTGAACTCATTGTCTGTATGTGTATTCCCCCAGAGATCAATGCAAAAGAAAAGATAAGAAAACCAGAACTCCGACCATGGGGTATCATCCGAACCAACTCCGATTGTGCTACAAAAGCAAATCAACACCATATATCCCATGTGTGTTCCTACCGGGGTATCATGAATAGACAAAAGAAAGATAAAGAAAAACAAGAAATACAACGAAACGACTGCCTACTTTATCGCAAAGATTGGCAGAAAACAGAATGAACACCATATAACCCATATGCGTAGATCAAAAATCGAATATATCTCCGTCGTAAATTGTACCCCATCAAAGTCGAGGAATCAATAACAAACGAAACACCATTTTTTCCATACACCACCAAAGAGTGTGATTTCTCAGAGATCAAAAAGGGCACAGCTTCCAGTATTGGCTCAAATCGCAATAATGAAGGTACCAGAAGGCGATCTCAGGGGGGTTTGCGAGGCATTCGAGAAAGAAAGGAGCAGTCCGAGAAGAAGAAGCACCGTAATTCTTGAGTACACCACCAAGGGAAAGCGGCTTCCAGTCAAAGTTCGAAAGAACATGATTCGAGTAATGTCTCACAGTCCACCAAGAGACAATCTCAAGTTGAAATTCACGAAAGGTCGGAAATGTCCAAGACGAAACACCTCCCATGAGTGATCCTCTTATTTATCTATCCACTCACAAATAGGATCCCTCCATATTGGAGGTAAAAGCGAGCAAGTTGCGAAATTCGAGAATGAACTCAACTAATATTATGGAGTGGTAGATGTGCGAAGAAACAGCCAGAATGAAGACGAATCAAACAAAGCTCAGAGGGAGGTTAAGGTATAAAGCCTTACGTTGACATTCTCTCCTCTCCTCTTTTGCCTCTCGGAACGCGAATTTTCTTCTTAAGATTGAGAGGTCCCAGAGTAAGTTGCCATTGTACGTGTGCCTCGTGGTCAAATGACCCGTCAGGATTCCGAAATAGCGCTGATTGAGATGCATCAAAGTTATCAGCTATGCTCATAGGGGCTACATATTCCGGCGCATAACTTTCGGATGCTACGGGAGCCGGTGGCTGTGGATTGGAGTTGCTGACACGAGGCTTCTTCATCGGTCCATCTTGCCCCTTTTCTTGCTCGGCTCGAGCTCGCTTGTTTGATTTGGCGGAGGCAGTCCCTTGAGTGGTGTTGGTGAAAGCTGTCTGTGCCACTGGCGAGGTCTGTGAATTGAACTTCTTGACACGAGGTTTCTTGGTCAGTCGAGGTGAGGTCTGAGGCGCGTTTTGCTTCTCGTCTTCTTCGTCACGAGTCCGCTTGTTTGAACTTGCGGAGCCAGTTTCCTGAGGGATATTGGTGATGTTTGCCATAGGCTTTCTTGGTGAAGAAGCAGCAGAAGCGCCCGTGGCTTCATTCTCATCTTCTTTGGTGTAACTTTTCTTAAGCAAATATGCTTCGATATCCTCGTCGGAGTCCTCCTCGCTCTCATTCTCGGAGTAAATGGCGCCTTCCTGGTTGGTGTTTGCCGTGGGTGCTGTTGTTGAAGAAGCAGCAGAAGCGCCTGTGGTTTCATTCTCTTCTTCTTTGGTGTAACCCTTCTTAAGCAAATATGCTTCGATATCCTCGTCGGAGTCCTTCTCGCTCTCATTCTCGGAGTAAATGGCACCTTCCTGGTTGGTGTTTGCCGTGGGAGGTCCTGTTGAAGAGACAACAGGCGCCTCCGTGGCTTTGTCCTCTTCTTCTATGGTGTAACCCTGCCTAAGCATATAGGCTTCAATATCCTCGTCGGAGTCCTCCTCATCCTCGTCATCGGAGTAAACTTCGCCCTGCTGCTTGGTGATTTCCTTGTACGTCTGCTGTCGTGGGTATGATTGCGCAACTTCGTGTTTACGATTTCCTTTGGGGGTAGGCTTACTGGGCTCTAGTAAAGACATTAGCACTAATTGACTGCGGGGATAAGTATACGGTGCTTACCTAAAGGGGATTTGACGTTTGAAGTATCAACTTCAACCTCTGCGGGGTCATCGTCGAAAGCAGCTTCTAATGCAGCTTCCAAATCATCGTCTTCTACTTTAAGATCGCCACTTTTCGTGTGAGAATTGCCCGCCTCATTTTCACCATTTATATTAGCCGAGTCTTTTTGTACGCCAACATCAACTTCATGCTCTGCGGGGAAAAGCTCGTCATCGTCAAAAGCAGCTTCCAATTCAGCTTCTAAATCATCATTTTCACCATTTACATCAGTTGAGTTGTTTTGTACGCCAGTAACATCAACTGAACCAGCCAGGCCATTTTCGACTTGTGCGAGAGTTGTATCTGAGATTTCATGGTTAGCAGAAAGTTCTTGTCGAATATTGTAGGATTCTCACCTGCCACCTGAACCGGCTTTTGAGTACTGACAACCTCTTTCTCGTCATCCGAGTCGAGAGAAATCGGAGCTTGCAGAGTACTACCGACTTGATTGACCGGTGCTTTACGAGGAGGAGCAGCGGCTGCTCCACCAGGATTCATCCATGCATATTTGGCATTCATGTTTCCAAACGCCGCTCTCATACTCTCTCGGTTGGCAAGATCCAATTCATATTGGTTTGCCACGGTGGTTACTCTCTTCTGTCTTCTCTTCTTCTTGGCGCGGACCGGAGCAGGAGCAACTTTCTATCTGTTAGTAAAGGTGGTAAAGAGCAATACAAATATGTCACTTACCTGTCTCGGCAGGAGCTTCAAATTGGTTATGGGTTGGCGTTGATTCATTATTGGTGGTTGGAGGACCGAATGGGTGTTGGAATGTCGACGATTCGCCACTATTGATAGGAGAGTAGTAGACGGGCTGGACAGGAGACTTGACCTCGCTAGCTTTGGGAGCCTTCGGGGCCTTTGGAGTAGGAGGGGCCTTGGGGGTCTTAGGAACAGGTGCCTTCTTCTTGGTAGCTGCCGGCTTCTTCTTTGGAACCTCAACGGGAGCAACTCCCTCTTCCTTGGACAAGGTATCCTCCTCGGTATTGTCCGGCTGCTCTTTCTTCTTCCTCTTCGCTGCTCTCAAAGCTTTTGCTTCAGCTGCAAGACGCTTCTCCACTGCAGCTTCAAGCGCCATCTTTTCCTTGTGCAGTTCAATGCCGCGCTTGTATTTCTGCTCCTCCAAACGCTTCTTTTCTGCCTCCAAATCCTCTTCGGCCTCGGCCTCGTCGAAGAGAGCATCGAGTCTTGCCTTCTTCGCTATAGGTCTTGGTTAATATGGTGTATCATGTAGTAATGTAGAATATGTTACTTACCTGCCGCCTCTTCTGCAGTCATTTGACGTGGGACGTAGGGAGGCATCCTGACGGTTGCTGCTGGAAGTGTACTATCTAGTTACTTGGAAGAGTAGTATTGAGATGATTGTATTTTCTTGTAGATTTGGTGTGTTCGTAGGTACAGTATGATACGGTTGGAGTGTGGGTGGATGATGATGAGTTGGGAAGGTGGATGGATGATAGTGTCGGGATGATGGATGACTATGATGGGAGAAATGAAATGGTGTAGGGCCAAAATATAATAAATCAATGCACTGACCTCTGCCCTAGGGACATGTTGAAATTCACTCTGGCGAGTATTGCGAGGCTGGCATGGCACCTGTATTATTTATCATGTAGCGGGGCTCATCATGCTCCGTAGCTACCTATTCTGGGGTGTTTCGCTGTTTAGACGTATCAATCTGTTCTGAAAAGCCCGCTAAGCAGCAGTGAATATAGATTTATTTGAGAAGTTGAGGGCCGTGCTCATGATGACGAAGTCTGTTTACTTCTGGAATTTAGGCGAGGTCTCAGTGAATAGAGATTCGAGCATAGAAGCAGACGCCCACTTGCCCCACTCCCATGTGTGTGCCTCGAGCTCCACATCGTGTATCAGGTGGATTCACTACCGTCCTGGTGGTGCTTCCTGACATCGCCTGGTATCTAATGCCCCCGTTAAGCAAACCACATAGGCTTCCCCGTCCCACGCCAGAGCGACAGCAGAGAGCTCCCCTCATTGCCCTCAGCCATATATCGTAGACCACACCATAGTTATGTGGCTCAAACGACTCATTGAAGCGAGTGCTCTGGTCAAATCACCTGATGTTTACTTCTTCTTTGCTAGCGAGCATTAAGCGAGGTCACCGTAAATACAGACTCCGATAATCCAGGTCACGTGCAGGTGCCATTCCAGGTAGCCCAACAACAAGATTCACTACTAGCACTAGTACCAACATCCCATGTGGCACCTACGTGGGCATGGTAGTAGTAACCTTTGTTACTAAAAACGTGGTGCAAGGGGAAGGAGTGAAGGCGAACATCCAAAGGACCACTCCAAACCCCACCTATTTTTTGAAAACCAGAGAAGTTCACAGAAATCCCAAAGAGTTCACTTGGAGCATCATCGTTATCTGTCGTAACATCCATCAATCTGAGCCTCCCACAGGTACACAGAAATAGCTCCTCTCTTATGATTCAGCAAGAATATCAGTAAAAATCTTTTCAGGAAGCTCTTGAGATTAGTAAACGTGCGTTTAGGGAAAGGGAGATATTATAGGGGCTACATAGATTCTTTTTCACATACTAGGTTGATTGGTCTACTACTAAACTACGCGCATACAGACGCAAAACAGCGAAGGTGATGCTTCTTCCGTATATCCATTAAGGGGGGCATTGTAGCTTTTTGTATTACATCAACTATATGTACAGATTCATACAACACATCTGAAACCCTAGAGTACAATGAAGTCTTTTCTGCCGTTTCTTGTCTCTTACTAGAGTCAACCAGATTCAAATCAAACCCAGCTCAACCTGCAGCCTCGAGGGACAATATTTCGCGTCAGTCCAACTGAACTGCCCCAAATCCATCACAGCTCAACTATTTCTATAACGCAACCTCTTCGTTCATTAAATTGCTCGCGACCTGAACGTCCCCTCCTTCTTAGCAAAGACCAAGAGTCTAATAAGTCCCGAAGGAGTCATCCCTTCAATCCGTCGCGCTTGCCCCACACTCTCGGGTTTCGTCATTTGCAATACATGCTTCTCATGCATCGACAAGCCAAAAATCTTATCGTAATCCAGCCTCGTATCAAGCCTCAGATTCTCATCCTTCTCAAAGATGCGCATGGCATTCTTCTGCTGCTTGACATAAGGAGCATACGTAGAGTCAATCCAGACCCTATTCTGAATGTGCGGGGAGAATTTCGTGACTTCGGGGACTACAGAAGCTAGGTCGGGGATTGTGACGCCTGCTAGGCGGATAATGTCGAATGCTGTTCGAAGTGTGGAGTCGTTCCCTACTTTGAAGCCGTTTTGGAGCCAGAAGGGAGCACTCATGTATTTTGCTGTTAGGGCTGTGGTGAGTTCCTCGATTTGGGCTATTTCGTCTTGGAAATGTGTCCAGCGTTCTTCGCTGATGACCCCGAATTTTCGTCCAAGTGGTGTGAGACGTTGGTCTGCATTATCTGCTCTTGCACTCATTCGGTACTCGCTACGTGAGGTAAACATGCGGTATGGTTCTGAGACTCCCTTGGTAATTAAATCATCAATCATTATACCAATATATCCATCACCGCGTGACAACACCAAAGGTGGTTCTGATTGCGATGCTAATCCAGCGTTGATTCCGGCGATAATCCCTTGAGCTGCTGCTTCTTCGTATCCGGTGGTTCCATTAATTTGACCAGCCAGGAACAATCCATCAATTGCTTTGGTTTCCAAGCTGGCCTTGAGACTTCGAGGATCAACGTAATCATACTCAACACCGTAGCCTGCTTGTAGCATTTGGACATTTTCCAGCCCGGGAATCGTTCTCAGCAACTCTTCCTGTGCTTCCGCGGGGATAGTCATCGAGATGCCATTGGGGTAGATAACATCACTATCGAACCCTTCCGGTTCTAGCCATACAATATGCCGCTGTTTGTCTGCGAATCTGATGACTTTTGATTCCAGTGAAGGACAATATCTAGGACCTTTGACAGTCTCTCTGATATGTATTGACTTGTCAAGATTTGCCCTAACAACATCATGTGAAGTTTCATTGGTGTACGTCGCATAACAAAGTAACTGATCTTCCACAGAAACTTTTTCGTTCAGATAACTGAATGGCATTGGTGGATCATCGCCATGCTGAGCATCGAGGGTGCTGTAATCAATAGTCTTCTTTGCCAGTCGTGGTGGAGTTCCAGTCTTCAACCTTCCAAGCTGGAACCCCGCATCCTTCAGCGATTTACTTAAGCCAAATGTAGCAGCTTCTCCCATCCGTCCAGCTGGATGGCATTCGAGTCCAATGTGGATCTCACCTCCCAAGAAGGTACCAGTCGTAATAACGACCTGATTCGTATGTATTAGTTCCCCAGATTCCAGTCGTACACCGGTTATCCTTCCATGCGCCGAACCCTCTTCCCTCTCAACAACGATATCAGCCACACTGCCCGGCACAATTGAGAGATTCGGGTAAGTCTCCAATTCGGCTCTCATATGCTTCTTATAAAGATCCCTATCAATCTGCGCTCTAGGTCCCTTCACACAGTTAGTATCATACTATCTTCCCCCCACTCCGCCGACATCCAAGACACAAACACATACCCAAACAGCAGGACCTTTCTTCCGGTTCAACACCTTGAACTGGACCCCAGCCTTATCAATGACCCTCCCCGCAACCCCATCCAGCGCATCAATCTCCCTCAACATGGTGCCCTTCCCAATCCCCCCAAAACTGGGATTACACGAACAAACCCCAATATTATCAATTTTCGGCGTCACAAGCGCTGTCCTCGCCCCCGACCTCGCGGCTCCTGCGCATGCTTCCGAGCCCGCATGGCCTCCACCTATAACGACGACATCGTAGGTTCTGGCACCGTCGGGTCTGGGGGGTTCACTGGAGGAGGGGCTTGCGAAACGGCGGTCCTGCTGACGGGTGAGGATTCGAGATTGCGCGCTTCGGGACCATGGTATTCGATGGCTTGAGAGAAGCGTTCGCTTCATTTTGGCATTGGGGGATTTGGAATAAGGAATAGGCCCTTGAGGTTTAGCATTAGGTGAGGTTGCTACAGCGAGATATTTTTAATGGCCGATGCCACTATCTTATCGCCGATCAAAGGGCCTGGGATTAAGACGACATACGACACCAACCTGGAAGAAACTAAACAAGTCTTCCTAGGTCAAGATAGAGACATGGTCCGAGTACCCTCCCCTCCTATTCTAAAATCCTTTTATATTTCTCATACTACTTAATTCGATACAAACCACTCACATCCAAAACTCGCCAAGGGATCACCAAATCGATGTCTCAGTTCCTCCAGTCCTCACAAACAAAATGCCTCGTTTTCCTATCCCAAAGCCAAAACAAAGAATCATTCCTTCAATGGTAGGCGCACAAGACCAACAAAGTATACGGCTTCTAAAAGTCAAGTCACACTGTCACAAAGCAAAGAAATCATGAGATATATAGTGGTGGAGGAACCAAATTGAATTAAAGTCTCCCAGCTCTAGACACTATTTCTATGCCCTCGGCCGGGATAATAAACCCCGACAACAACAAAGATTCCGATTCCTCCCTTTAAAGGTAACGTTTGATTAGAGAATGTAAATGCGCTAATGGTAGTAAGCCCATCATTTTTGACAACAAGAGACCCCCCATAAAACGCTATGTGTGAAGTTTATTCAACAAACCACCACAGACAAACAAGAAGAAAAATTAAAGTGCAGGATGTGCCGTATGGGTAATCAGAAAGACAACGCATCAAATCAAATCAAAAAGAAAAGAAATTCCCATCCTTCCTCCGGAATAATCGATTAAACATGAACAGTGAATGTAATGGTGAGTCGACGGCATCGAAGCGGCCATCGGAACCCAGCCGAATGCAATGCAACAGAAACCCCCCGGACAAAGAAAACTCTTCATACAGAAAACCTCCTCCTCACAATGGAATTAAAGTCAAACGGTCGTAGATCCTAGGAGCCATTAACTGCAAAACCAAGCAGCCCTGATCCCAATAACGCCTAGCCTATGTTTCCCCAATTCCAGAAAATTGATTCATTTCCTAATTTCAAAGATCCCATAAAACACCTCCAGTATTCATACTGCTGAACTCCTAGATGAATCTAATTTCAAGATCTTGCGAAGGCTATCCTCCATCCCTTGAAGATCTGCGCCTCTATTTGCAGACGAAACGCCAAACGATAATGAACCAGAAGAAGATGCATGAGACGTAGTGTTTGCCATAAAATTGCCCGCATTCGTGGGTGTACCATGGCCGTAAATTTGAGAAGGATTGGTCGAGTGCGCATAATAATTGTTACGATTGGGGGTCGTGGAAGGAGTCTTCGAAGGAGTCACTTGTTGACGAAGACCAGATGATCGTGCCGCATTTCCATTGTAGTTTTGAGCTCTAGCTTCCTGAGCAAAGTTGTAGTGGCTGCTGGGTGCGCTCTTGGTGTGTGTCAACGAAGGGGGACTGAGACTTTTGTTGGGAGAAAAAGAAGATTTCGGATTTGTAGAAGTTCCATTTGCTGCAGGTGGGCTTGAAGTGTGTCCAGAAAAGAGGTATGCCTTCAAGGCTTCTGATCTTTCCAAAGAGGCTTGAGCATCACCACGAGGGCGTTGCTCAGAATTGCTTCTTGCCGCTTTGATTCGCTCCGAGTAGGGAGTAGAGAAGGCTGGCCCAAAAGGAGTGCCGGGGTTTTCATCAAGTTCCATTGCAAACAAGCCATTAGGGGAAGATCTAGATTGGAAAAAGGCAGGACGGCTCAGAGGGTTCTTGGATGCAGGTGGAGTTTGCAAGTTTCGTTGAGAATTGGGAGGTGGTGGGAATGGGCCAACAGGTTGGCCAGCCACATTCGCAGAGTTGGTGCTACGTGCCCGCTCCTTCTCTTCTCTATCCGCCTTGAAAAAGAAATCAAGGGGTGACTCTTCCCGGTGTTTGCTTATCGACGGCGGTGCGGTAGGAGGTGACGGTGATTGAGTGTTGGGCTGTGAGATAGGGGCGTCCTTCATGGATCGGAGCCCCTTCAATAACCCAGGGGAGTCGGGAACTGACTTGGAGTAGAAGCTAGGTATCGGCAGGGCAGATGGAGCAGGCGAGGCGTGGAAAGTTGCACCAGCATAAATAGCGGCTGATGGGGTGCTTAGTGTTTTGGAAGGAATGCCAGCGGGTTGTGCACCGTTCAAAGGCGGGGTATGGCGGTCGCNCACCAGCATAAATAGCGGCTGATGGGGTGCTTAGTGTTTTGGAAGGAATGCCAGCGGGTTGTGCACCGTTCAAAGGCGGGGTATGGCGGTCGCGATCACGACCTTGACTTTTGACGGGAGGTGAGGTGACGACATTCTTAGGACGATTCTTGTTGTTTCGTGACTTCTGCTTGGAGCCCGTCTCTCGCGCGGCCAAGTTGGCGGTGTTCGGGTTTTGGTTTCTTCGGGGAGTTCGAGGCGGCGTGCTAGGCTGGGTGGGGTAACTCATTTCGGCGGTCGAGTGCTGGTTATTCATGTGCGCATTCAGATGATGAGGACTGTGAGGATTCTGGGATGGAGGGGTGGTGGCGGTGGTGTTATGCGCAGCACTGCGGGTTGGTCGGTGTCGTCTCGATGGAACTTCTTCAACGGACATTGCTTCCTTGGCTTTAAATAAGCAGCCGTGATAGGAAAGCGTAGATTGTGGAACAAGTAAGAAAAATAACAGCAGAAAAAAAGGGCAGGCTAGAGATCGCTACAAAGGACGAAAAGCAGGCGGAATGTATGTAATAGTAGTGTAGTAGTGCAGTAGGAGTAGAAAATGGGCAGTAATGACGCGATTTTTGTCGAGGCTGGCGGCTGGCCTACTGGTGAGGCGGAAGTCGGTGGCTGGAGGCGAAGTGCCGTGAGTCGCAGGGTCGATTCTGTTTGTTGTTTTGAGAGGTGAGTTGCTGGTGGTGTTGAGATGAGGAGGTTGTGGTGTTCATGGTTCTGTTGCGGAGCGGAAGAGTCGAAGATGAATCGTTGCGCTGGTGGCCGTGAGAAGTGGAAGGGGAAGTGGAAGTGGGGAGGTTGGTATTGGGGATGCGTGAGAGCGAGAGCGAGATGGGGAAGAAGTTGAAGAAGCCCGGCAGAACCAAGGCACCAAGGCACCAAGGCGAGGAAGCGCGGCGCGTCAGACAAGGAAACGTGCTAGCCTACGCTGGTATGAGTACAAGAGGGAGGAGTCAGCGGCTAGTAGTGTTGTAGTGCTACGTAAGTACGATAAAAGCGGCGGCTCTGCAGTAGTCTCAGGCAGGTACCAGATGTCAAAGTACTTGGTACGGAACTAGGTATACCAGGTACTTGTAGGTAGGCTCAATAGGCTCGTAGATACCTATAAGTACGGAAGGTACACTACCTCGCTACTTCCCAAAAGGTAGCTCAATAACATCCTTCACTAACTACATTCTCACCAAGAACTTCCAGCACCATATGAGAAGACAGCGTCACCTTGACTCCACGAGCACTTGCTAGACTTGCAGTAGTAAGCTCAGGCATCAACAGCTTCATTTACACCCGCCCCGCTCCGCCCGCCGCTTTTCCCTCTGGCCCCACGTGACGCAGCCCAACCCTCGGCCCGCTGTACCTACTTCTTTGGAGTAGTGCCCAACACCCAACGTCTGGTACCTGTCGCATCGGAGCATTGGTGGCTCCCCCAGCAAGCTTGGCGGCAATCGGCAGAGACTAGCCGGGTTCGCAGAGTAGTGAAGTAGGTAGATACGTAGTTGTCAAGATCTTTAGAGGCCAACGAGTCTCTAAAGCTCTCTCCCCTACCACATGGATGCCTACCCCTCTGGTCCAAAATCTTTCCTCCGCTGATTTTCAATCACATTCACAACGCCAGACTAACCAACTGCCTCTTCACCACGATCCGCAATTTCCTCACGCGCAAGAACTGGACGATCTGTCCCCCACCACCCATCGCCGTCAACGAAATCCCAACACCAATCTGCCACAAGGGAACGAGGACAGCAAACATCTTCTGGGAGAAGAAGATTCCGACGACTCCGCCGACAACAGCCCTATGGGTGCCAAATCTCGACGCCCGAAATCCCTCCAGCCAAAAAAGGACGGCTCGGCTTCCTCGTCTGGAGGGGAAAACGGCCAGACGTCCGACAACATGAACAACAATGTAGAATATAGGCGCAAGAATGCCTCGCTGGAATCGGATACCGTCACGGCCAACCTGATGGCCCGCGAATCCTTTTCTCTCGACGACAATGTTCCGCGCACTCCCACCATGAACAACCACGGCTTCTTCGAACTCCCCATGCAGGATAGAAGGAATTTTATGTTGTTGGTCTTGCTATACTTTTTACAGGGTGTGCCAATGGGTCTGGCAACAGGTTCCGTGCCATTTTTGTTGAAGGGAGCACATCTATCATACAGTGCGCTAGGGGTGTTCAGTTTAGCCTCATATCCATATTCCTTGAAGTTGTTGTGGAGTCCTATAGTAGATGCCATATGGACACCCAAGCTGGGTCGACGAAAGAGTTGGATCTTGCCTATCCAGATGCTCTCGGGAATCGGAATGCTATGGTTGGGCGCAAGAGTGAAAGCTATGATGGTGGTAGCCGGCAACGAGGACGGATCGGGCATTTGGGGCTTCACTGGATGGTGGTTCTTTTTGGTTTTCATGTGTGCTACACAAGATATTGCAGTCGACGGTTGGGCTTTGACATTGTTGTCCCCAGGGAATATTTCGTATGCTTCGACTGCGCAGACGGTAGGTTTGACTGCTGGCCAATTCATGTCCTACACGGTTTTCCTCGCTTTTAATTCTCCCGATTTTGCCAACAAATACTTCCGAAAAACTCCACTAGGTGAAGGGGTGATGACACTTGGGGGCTATCTTACATTCTGGGGATGGGCATATTTGATCGTGACAATCGGACTGGCTGTTTTTAAGAGGGAAGAAAAGACTAAGAACGAGGACGGCATTTATGATGTTTACAAGGTCATGTGGGGAGTTTTAAAACTTAAGAACATTCAGACCATTATTATTATCCATTTAATCGCCAAAATCGGATTCCAGGCCAATGACGGGGTTACTAACCTGAAGCTCATCGACAAGGGATTCAGCCAAGAAGATCTCGCACTTACTGTTCTGATCGACTTTCCTTTTGAAATTGGGTTAGGGTACTATGCTGGGAAATGGTCCACGACATACACGCCTATGCGATTATGGTGCTGGGGTTTCGTGGGACGTCTTCTAGCAGCAGTTATCGCTCAGATTACTGTCGTCATCTTCCCCGAAAATGGTGTCGATACTTGGTATTTACTTGTTGTTATCGCCGAGCATATATTTTCTACTTTCACCAACACTGTCATGTTCGTTGCCATTTCAGCTTTCCATGCTAGAATTGCAGATCCCGTCATTGGCGGTACATACATGACTCTGCTAGCTACGTAAGTTTCTCGATCCTCCTTCAATCTCACATACGCTCATAAGAATACAGCGTCTCAAACTTGGGTGGTACTTTCCCCCGATTTTTCGTCCTCAAACTCGTCGACTTCTTCACCGTCGCATCTTGCGTTCCCCCGGCATCCGATTTCAAGCTCCCATCCAGTCTCAAGGGTCCTCTCGTCACATCCGCCTTTGACTGTTCCATGTCAGCCGAGAAAGATCGGTGTATCCAAGGTGGTGGGCTGTGTGATGTCACCTCGGATGGGTATTATGTGATGAATGTTGTCTGTGTTGTCATTGGCCTAGTCACCTTTTATGGGTTTATTAAACCTGCTGCGTTGAAGTTGCAGGCGTTGCCTTTGAGGGCGTGGAGAATTGCGGGTGGTAGTAACTAGGTAGGGAGGGAAAAGCACGTGTATTTTAAAAAAGCAGGATTGTATTTTAGAGTATATATGGTGGTAAATGGAATCGGATGGACTTGTAGTGTTGTGTATTTGTTGTTGTATTTTGCTGGGAAAGAGTACTAGAGGCCTGAATGGAACGTCGTGGTGAGTATTTTTAGTCTGCATTTGTTAACCGTTTAGACGAGCTTGAGGTGATGGGTTATCGAATTTGCGATGTCTACTCGAGTACCATAGATGTCCATATTCTCCCAATGGCTTAGAGAAAGTTACAATGAACAGCTCTCCCGTAGACGGTCCCAGGGGGTCCTCTTCTACTTACCTGTGATCTAAATCCTTAACCTGCTACGAAAAGAACTGGATACTAGGATTCTCGTTATAAGGGTGTCGTCGATTAGATCCTTGGAATTTTTCGTTCTTATTTTTGTTTATGGGGGATGTGGATGAGTTGATAAACTCTGCTGCTTTATTGGTATTAATGGGGTTCTTGGGGGGGCTTTAATATAGCAGACCTAGGCGTCGATACGATATATATCGGATGATCGCGATATTTATTACGATATAATATCGATACTTATTTCCACGATATTAATATCGAACGGATTAAATTCGATAATATCGATAAATATCGATATTTATACCTAAATTTAGTATATTTTAGGATGTTTTTAGAGGTGTTTTAGAAGGGTTTTAAAGGTATTTTAGGTATAAATCTAGTTATATTTTAAGTAATAGTATAATTATTAAAGGAGTAAAAATAATAATAAAATATATATAAATAAAGTATAAATATAAGTAGAATAATTAATTAAATTCTAGCGCTTAATAATACTACCTTCTATATTAATTTTAACCTTAATCTTATTATCGCTCTCTAGTATAATACCCTAACTTTATAAGTATAATACGTACTATACGTTCTTACTATAAATCGAGCCTCTTTTCTATAATATTAGATTCTTTACCTTACTAAATACTTGTTCTAATAGAGCGCTTATAGCTAGGATTAAGTAATAATTAAGTAACGTAGTCCACAAGCGAGTTGGATTCCCAAGCGAAATGGACTTTTTTCTTGGCACTCCACAACCTTATTCAGAGCGCGATTTTTCTTAACAAACAAAATGGTTAAGCATTGGACAGAGTCTGATATGATCCTTGCGTTAAATACGCTTCGTACGAACCCACATTTAAAAGTTAAGAAGGTTGCGCGGATCTATAAAGTACCTTATACGACGTTGCTTAATCGAACTCATGGAATATTATCACGACAAGATTCTATCGCTAAATCTCGAAAACTTACAGAGATTGAAGAAATAGTTATCGTACGACATATTCTCGACCTAGATTCTCGATCATTTCCCCCACGAGTACGTTGTGTTGAAGATATGGCGAATCGTATCCTCTCGGAGCGGGGTGCAGGACGCGTTGGCAAGAACTGGACTTCGAACTTCGTACGACGACAACCTGAACTTAAGACGCGTTTTAATCGAAGGATTGATTATCAAAGAGTCCAATGCGAAAATCCAGACGCGTATAACGCGTGGTTTCGCCTCGTACGAAATATAATTGACAAATATGGGATTCAGGAGGAGGATATTTATAACTTTGACGAGACTGGGTTTTGTATGGGCCAAATTACATCAGAAATGGTTGTTACAAGTACCGAAAGGCTTTCTCGGCCTCGTACAGTACAGCAAGGAAACCGGGAATGGGCAACAGTAATTCAAGGTGTTGGGTCGTACGGCTTTGTAGTGCCTCCATATATCATTTTGGCGGGGAAGAACCACCTCTCCTCCTGGTACGAAAACAGCCAATTACCACGCGACTGGGTAATTGCTGTAACTACAAATGGCTGGACAACAAATGAGCGAGCCCTAGATTGGATTTTTCATTTCGATCGGCATACAAAGCTTCGTACGAAGGGCATTCACCGGCTGCTTGTGCTTGATGGCCATGAAAGCCACCACTCAGTCGATTTTGAGCTTTTTTGTAAGAGTAATAACATTATTACTCTTTGCATGCCAGCTCATTCCTCTCATAGACTCCAGCCACTCGATGTAGGATGTTTTCGAGCGTTAAAAAGGTCGTACGGTGCTGAACTTGAGAAATTAATGCGACTCCACATTACATATGTTTCTAAGGAGGATTTCTTATCAACATTCTATACTGCCTTTCGTACGACAATGACTGAATCAAACATTCGAGGAGGATTTCGAGGATCTGGCTTAGTGCCGTACGACCCAGATTCTGTGATTTCACAGCTTGATATACGTCCAAGGACTCCGTCACGTCCATCTACCTCAACAAGCCTCCTAGCTATTTGGGAACCAAAGACCCCAAATAACATAACAGAGGCATATTCCCAGACGTCATATATACAAAACAAGGTCGTACGACACCAAGATAGTTCTCCGACCCAGATTCTATATGGCCTAGACCAGCTTGCAAAGGGTGCACAGCGTGCAATCACTGAGGTAGCTTTATTACGAGCTGAGAATGCTACACTTCGTACAGCAAATGATCAACTTAGTCGGCGTCGTCGTACGAAAAAGCGCCGATTACAGGAAGGAGGATCACTTACTCTCCAAGATGCGCAAGATTTAGGGGTCCTTAGTAATGTTGATTCGCAAGAACAAGTGGTTTTAGTAGAAAATAGTAATTGTACGAGCCCGAGTCTAGTACCTCGCCGGCGCTGTGGACTATGTGGGAAACATGGCCATAACGTACGAACTTGTCAAAAAGGAGAAGAAATATGTGAGGATTCCGATTCTGAATACTGTAATTGATTTAAATAATTGTGTCGTGAGATATTTAAGAATTTATAAAATGCCAAGAAAAAAATCCATTTCGCTTGGGAATCCAACTCGCTTGTGGACTACGTTACTATTTAAGTAATTATAAGGTAATTATACTATTTCGATATAAGAAAAAGATATATTTACTTTAGTAAGGATTCTATAGGAATTATACCTTTAGATAACTATCTCTTAACCTTATTCTAGGGTAATAAGTAGATAGCTAAATTACTAGATTTAAAGCCGAAAAAAGAATTAGTATAAAACTCTTCTTGTAACCGTGTGGAGTGAACCACTGCTTGCTGTGATGAATACGGAGTCAAACGGAAACTGCTGTATTGAGCGAACAACAAAGTGAGGAAGGAAGAGAGTTCCAGAGGAACGAGAGCTTAAATACAGGATGCCAGCAGCGCGCACGTGACACATACTACATGCTGCGCTACACGTGATCAACCCCTAGTTCCTCCAA